TCCGTTGCGGCCGCGTTTGAGTCGGTCGCGCTCGTAGCCACGTCGTTCGTCGTTCCACGCTCATCTGCGTGCAACAGTCGGTGATGCGGTCGCTTGCATCCGTTGATTCCGCAGAGCTTCTGTCGGCAGTTCAATCGACGGTGTCGGCCCACGATGCATTTGAAGCAAAGGCCCTCCTTCTTCACCAGCTCCCATCGGTCATCATACGTTAGCTGCTTGAACTTTGGGCAGCTAGGTAGTGTGTGGGCTTCCTGGCATGAAAGGCATCTGCGCTGCGGTGCTTCTTCGGTGGCGACGTACACCGTCTTCTTCTTAGCCTCCGGTCTGGGGGCGGGGCGAGGCGTTTCTCGTGTTCGTTGCGATGTGGAGGGTGCGGTGAGGTTCGATACATAGTTGTATCGCATGCAGCGGTCAGCTTCCTTCATCAGGAACGATGAAAGTTTGAGTAGATCGGCGTTCGGGCCCGGCTGTGACTCGGCGAAGTTGCACCAACTCGATACAAGGTAACTTGGCATCTTGTCTAAGACTTCCCGGGTCAGCAGTGGGTTAAGCAGGTACTCTGGCTGCACGTTCCTCAGGACGGCCACGACGTTCTGTAGCTTCACCGCAAACATGTTAAGATCGTTCGCGGTAGGTCCAATCTTCGGCAGCTTCCGTAGATCGGCGAAAGCCATGTCCACTAGTCTTTCTGGCCTTCCGTAGCATTGCTCCAATGTTCGCATGATCTCGTCGGGGTGCGTCGCGGTGCTCAACAATGATGCGACGTTTTCCCGAGCTTCTCCACGTAGGCAGTTTCTTAGTCTTGCCATATTCTCTGTAGGTGTGAATTCGTACAGCCGCGTTGTTTCTCGCATCGCAGTCGCGAACTGTAGCCATTCCAGCGGTGAACCAGAGAATATCGGTAGATCCGATGCTTGACGCGGCGGCGGTCGTGACTTCACGAGAGTTTCGAGGACAGAGGCGAGTTGATCGATGCCTCTGCCTCGCGATGACGACCGTCTTCGTTCTTCCCTATCTGGGCGTCGCGTGTCGCGTTCAGGTGGCGGTTCAGCCACGGCGGTCCTTGAGAGCTCCCCCCGTTGTTGGTCGACGTTCGCGTCGTCGAGCCACTCGAACACTCGATCTTGCAATTTATTTGCCGGTTCTTCAGCTTCGGGTTCGCTCTCTGCTCCGTCTAGCGTTTCTAACTCGATATTGAGCGTCTTTTTTATGAGGTCCGCTTCAATTTCGAGTTCTCGGCGTCTTATGGCAGCCAGTCGTTCTTCTGCTTCGATGCGTAGCTTCCGGCGTGCCGCGTTGCTCGCTGCCGAGCGGGTCGAACGCGCGACGTGCACTCTCCTCGCCGGTTGCACCGATGACGTCATCGCAGATGTCGTTATTCCAGTAGTCGCCGCTGTGTCCGTTGGGTGTGCTGCGCGTTCGTCCGCTCCGCTCGGCGGCTGCGTAGTCACTGCCAAGGCGACGCGTGCTCCGGCAACGTCTGCCCCAGCGCGGTTCGCGTTAGGCGCTAGTTGCGAGACTTGCGGTGCGGTGCGTAGGCTCTCCCCGGCGTTACCCGTCTCGAGGCGTCCTCGTACGGTCGGTGTACTTGAGGGCGATCTCGGCGGCTGGTCGAAGACACGACGTTGGTTTTCTTCGTCTTGGCTTCTTGTAAGCACCATCTTGATTCACTGTTGCTGGATCTCGAAGGTTCTATACGTGTTTAGATCCGGCTTCTCGAAGGACCAAAACTATTGAGGGTGGTGATCCGGCTTGAAGGACCAAACTGTAGACGATGCTGTATAACCGTGGATGATGGTGAAAAACAAAGACGGATTTCTTCTATAGGCGATTTATTGTATTTTCTTCTTACTGGCTACTTATTACTGCTTGACTATACTGCTTGACTGACTTGACTTGACTTGACTTGACTGGACTTGACTGACTACTTGACTGACTACGAATATTTACAAATTTGGCCCTACCCTTATTCTAAACTTAACATCTAACTTAGCTACTAGTGACGCGCGGCGGCCGACCAATCACAGCGCGTTTTACGCCCGCGCGCCGGGTGGGGGAATCGCCCCCACCGTGCGGACGGCGCCTACGCAGCCAATGGGCTCCCCGATAATTCCGCTAATGTAGGCGCTGTGATTGGTCGTTCGATCTGTACATTTTTCGGCACGTGGCTGTCTTCAACAATTATTATAAAGCTAAATTATCGAGTAAAGTAGGTTTATATCTCTTTTATGTTGGAAAAAAAATGCTTCATTAAGTCTGAGGGAAAAGTGCGTCAACTGCGTAACCAATCCCTATTTTAGGGTTCCGTAGTAAACAAAGAACCTTTGTAGTTCCGCTATGTCCGTCGGACCATCCGTCCGGCCGCGGTTTAGTTCTATAACTATTGTTACTAGAAGGTTCTAATTTGGCATCAATATACACGTCAATAACGCCTAAAAAGTGGTAAAGTAAAATTTTGAATACAATATACATCATGTAAAGCGTGGAAGATATTTTTCCACTTTCCCTTAATGTGGGGCATCTTTGGAGAATAAGGTCTTTTGAAAACATTGGGGGTGTGGGAAGGCCGTTTTTCGATTTAGTGAATCGTTTGTGATTTATTAAGCTTTTATTTTATTTCATTTCATTTTGTTTCGTTCCGTTCCGTTCAGTCCCGTTCTGTTCCGTTTCGTTCCTTTCCGTTCCATTCCATTCCGTTCCGTTTTATTTTATAGACCTAATTTTCGTAAGAGTCAAGTGGGTAGACCATTAAAAGATTGATAAAAAATTAAACGTTACGGCAGTAGTACCTATATATAATGAAGTTAAAAGGAAAATATCACAATTAAGTTAGCTTTATAAGTTTATGAGTAAAAGTCGACCAATGTATTAATGTCGAAAATTTGGAATAACTCTATAAAAAACAACATATGTAATTTTATTTTACTTTTTTTAATGAATAATGGTACGGAACCCTTCGTACGAGAGTCCGCTTCACATTTGACCAGTTTTTGATTTTTCAAAAATTATCCCCCGAATGATCAGTCAGATCAGGCCATCAGTTGGACGCAGTTCGTCGCAAATAAAAATGTTATTTCAGACCATCACGATGCGATGGTGCTCCTCCTAAAAACATTTCAAGTCCCATTTCACGATTGGAAACCACTCGAAATGGAGCCTCGTTCTGAATCCACTTGAGACAAATCAAGTGCTGGTGTAGTATGGATTTGAAATTTTCATTTTCTATGATGCGCGAACTTCCTAATTGGATATGGTGTTCAACGAATTGGCTATGAGTTTGTAGGTTTTTCAGTTTTCCGGGAGAACGGTACGTGGCAATACATAAATCTTATAGATAATTTTGTTCGTCAGTTTATAAAAATTAATAGTTATTTGTTGGTAAGAACGTTAATGATTGATAAAGTTAATACAAATATATAAAGTTAAGATTTATCTATAACTGAAAATATTCAAGTGATGGTTATGCATTTTTCTTATTGTTATCTTCGTTGTGGCATTGGAAAGGGTTTCAAGAAAAACTATGTATATCAAATGATATTAGATTTTCGATATAAACGGTGATCGACTAAACTGATGCCGAATATTTATACCAGTAGGTAAAACTTTCGCTCATTCATCATCATCATTCAACATTAATATGAATTCGATTTTAGTGTGAATTTAATGTTTTATTTTTATTTTATAAGCACGCTGAGAGGTTTATGTCTAATATCATTAACACCGGCCTATTAATATCCTCACAACCGAATCGAATAAGGACATAGACTGAGTGCGGATTGGTAACTGTTAACAGCTGGAGATGCAGCTGGGACCAACGGTTTGAAGTGCCTTCCGAAGCACGAAAGAGATTCCGAATTTTTTTTCACCCGCCCTATAAAGGACCCTTTCGAAACTTTTGTTAACTTCGGCATTGTATAGAAAACGCTGACTGTGCCATCTTACCAAGAGCTCGATATAATAAATTTTTGGTAACACATTCTATACCATGACCATTGCGAAACTTGCTTAACAACCGTATCGCAGACCGAGTGCGTTAAACACTGCGCCATCGAAGTCCTCGACTGTACCTCTGCAATTTTTTTTAGAAAACCAGACGGCAATCTTTGAATATTGTACATAAAATGATATTGCTAGTTAAATAGAAGGTCGGTGCAAATTTGACGGAAAATCTCTCAAACGTCTCAGGCTATGCGTTATTTATTACTCGACGGATCATATTTATCAGTTCTGTCTGACGTTCCGCGACCGACAATCTCTAATGTATTATTAGACTTTAGGCAAGTACCTATGTTTGACATATAATACACATTATAAAGAATTCTACCTTATTTGTATAGGTTTTCTCCTTTTATGGATTTCTGTGTTTCACCTTCACATGTCGATCTACATTTGTCCTTTGAAAGATAAACAGTTATCTCTTAAAAGCATATCTAAAATTTGCATTTTCGTTAACTTTCAACATTTTGTTAGGTACATAGTTAAATTTGTTAAATATCCACGTGACGCATGTAAACTAGTGCGTGATGCTCGTGAAGAGCCGTCGTTATATCTTAACTGTTTAACGACCTTGACTTAGTACATTATTATTGATCATTGTTATCTACCCCGATGCAGTGCAATTGTAGTTGCAATTCACTAAAGGCTAAGGTTTCAACGAACACTTTATTTATTAAACGTAATATAATATTATTATCAGTGCAATAGTGTGCTATATAATACATATCAATTATCTGTTATCCATTAAAAAATAAATTACAGTTTCTTTCTAATTATAGCTTCGTGACTTCTTTTCGGCACTGAATTCTTTCAGTTTAAGCGCCGTATTTGCAAATATTGTTTGACTATAAAAAACAATAATAAATTAAACAACGGGCGTACCCGTGGTACTCTCCTCCTCTAGCGGACCTACTTAATGGTGAAAGCTTCAGGATATAGAGAACCTTCTCCACTCGGGTGACTGAACCGTCCACGCTTACTCATCACAAGACGTGTGTGTACAGGCGGGGCTATTCGTGGCGCTGAAGCTGGTGGCGCTGGCACAGGCCGGCCGAGACATCAACATGACCAACATACACACCGACGCGCCACCGCCCAAAGTCGTAAGTGCATACATCACAAACATATTCTATTATAATAGTATTCTGTTAAAACTACTTCAAACACTTCGTCGAACGCAGTGTTGTTGCGGTTGGACAGCAACCTTTATCAGCTTTCGAAGTAGTTTTTATTTGATTGGACCTCTATGCTATGACAGCGCTGTGAGGCTTCGAGGCTGTTTTTCCAACAGTATAGCACTACAGTTTTGTTTTGGATAGTACATAATCCAATATACTTTTCTGTGAAAATTCTGTCTGCATGCGTAGGTAGGTATTATGATAACAAATCAGTTGAGAGATCGCTGTTGACACATGTACATGATATCTTTTATTCAGTTGATTTAGCCGACCGTATCTGTGTGTATTTAGAGATGAATTTAAATACCCGTTATTGTGATTGTGAATGAGGGCAATCACATTAATGTTCACCGGGCTTGGATTGTTTGAAATTTTAATATGTTTCATAAAAAGTAATTAAAATGACCAGACATACTCGTATAGAGGTAGCGTGTTTATGATTTAATGTTAAATTTTGAGTGTATTAAAGAGTATAATAATATATTACAGGATATCTCACCATTTGATAGATACATTGAATACTCTCAAAAATTCACCTTGTACTAATATTAAAGGGTCATGCTAGTGAACGAATGCCGTTTGTATCTGCTTGTATTAGAGGTTGAGTTTCCCGGAGACAATTAATTACAGTTTCTCTCGGGAACTTACTAGGATACATCTATCTTAATTGGCCTTATTTTTTTAAATTCTTAAGTCTCTTGAAGCCCACATGAAATAGGATCGAAATGCTAAAATAAATACTTTACTGATTGTTCATTTTCTCTAAAATATGTAAAAACAGTTCACAATAATTTAAATATATATAAATAGTCTTTTAAAAACAACAATTTTAATTAAGTAAGTACTCGCAAAAGTTAGATCAAAAATCATGAAATATCATAATGGTGGAGAGGGGTGGTGGGGGGGGGGGGGGGTTAGTAATATATCACCTGTAATTATTTTTCCTCAAACTCAAACAAAAAAATTAAGATATATAAACCTCATCATGTATTTAATTAATATATTAAAAAACTGAAATTTGCAAAGTTCGAAACTTAGATATCAATACAAATACGAAAAAGTACAAAAATAATATGAGTTGTTTATTGAGTTTTGAAAACTACTTTTATACATGAAAGAAAACCGGAAGGGTTGTCATGGAGAAATCAATCGTACCGTAGCGACATCTAGTTTGATTTCGGCAACAAATTTTTTTAAATACTTTTTCAGTACTTTTACTCGCCTATAGATATGGTTATTAATGATTTTGAATTATAATACTTGGTGGTTGTATTAGGGTGAGATACCGAAAGTGTCACACGGTGCGGCACCGGCGCGACCCGCGGCCCCCTCGCCGCTGGCGCCGCTCAGCGACTGGACCATGAAACCGTCAGAGCGAGACAAATACAGTCAGCTGTTCGACTCGCTGCAGCCAAGTAACGGACTCATAGCCGGGAACAAGGTATGCAACAAGGACGGATCCGTCGAGAACTCCAATCGACGCTTTGATTCTGTAAAAATCTCTACCCGAATTCAGGTGTGATTCGAATTCTGACTCCGATTTTTATGAAATCGCTCTGCAGTTATGATTGGCCGCGTAAAATAAAACGTAGTAACAAAATTATCCCACTGAAAATAAATTCCACTTTTCTCTTGGCTGTATGACACATATGGAATTTTCTTTGCAATCATTTTTGTTCAGGTAAAAGGGGTATTAATGGAGTCGAAGCTTCCTTTAGAAACTCTAGGTAAAATATGGGATCTGGCCGATCAAGACAAGGACGGAATGTTGGATAGGCACGAATTCATGGTGGTGAGTTGATAATTATAAAATATAACTTTCTCACTTTGTTCATAAGTCATATCATACAAACATAACAATTAATTATATCTTATTACTCCTTTACTATATTGCACAGTCATTTTTATCAGCTTCCGTCATCGTTCACAGGCCATGCACCTAGTGTACAAAGCCTTGGAAAAGCACGCGGTACCAACTACGTTGCCGCCGGAGTTACGAGCGCGTCCAGCGCGGCCCCCGTCTCGGCCTCCCTCGCGTCCCCCCTCGCGGCCCCCTTCCCGTCCCCCCTCGCCACAACCCCGCGCCGTCCCGCCCCGCCCAGTGCCCCCGCCCGCACAGCCGCAGTCCAACGCCTCGCTCCTCGAGGGATTGTTAGATCTATCCACTGTGAGTACTGCAATGACAATTATTTTTGTCTTATGTATTGTAAAAGATTAGAGAAATGGCTCTCACTCTTGGAGTAGACATCAGCTTTTCGTATAATAGGGCACATTTATTTTTGCATTTCATACACATAAGTTTTGGGATCAGTTAAAGTTTCTACTGTTCGATCGACATCGTATTTACTGTAAAATTATTTAGTAGTTTGATTCGCCCGCGTAAATAACTGTCACTAAACTGCGAAAGATTTATTTAAATCGGCTTAGTAATTTCGGAGCCTATTCAATGCGAACATACAAATAAACAAACAATCAAATGTTTCCTCTTTGTAATATTAATATAGATATTATGTTTTATTTAAAATCTCCAATTTGATTAGGCAATAGAAAATAGCATTAAAAAGTTCTGCGATGGCTATGATCGATTTCAACAAAATGGCAATCTGAATATATGTATTTTATTTTTCTGATTTTTCTTTGATTAAAATCATTATTTTCAGCCGCCTTCACAGACAGCACCATCGCCCATCCCAGGTATGGGGGCGCCCATTCCGGCAATGATGGGGCCCCCGCTCGTGTCTGCGTCACCAGCGAGCGTGGGGGCGGGGGCGGGGTCGGATGCGTGGGTGGTGACGGCGGCCGAGAAGGCGGTTTACGACGCGCAGTTCCAGGCTGCGGACGCCGACAGAGACGGATTCGTTTCCGGCGCGGAGATCAAACACACGTTTTTGGAATCCGGTCTGCCACAGCAGACGCTGGCGCATATATGGTGAGTTTTCTTATATATTTAGCTAAGTTGAAAATTAAAATAATATTTTATTCAAAAATTCGATTGATAACAAATGTCACTCGACATATTTATGACAACTGAACATTTATATCACATCTTGCAACTTTGTCTTCACTAATCACGATGACATCTGAGTTTCTAATGCAAAAATTTGTCAAGTCAAGCAATGGACTGGAGGTAATTTTATGTCAGGGCGCTGTGTGACACGGAGAGCACGGGCAAGTTGTCCCGCGGTCAGTTCGCGTTAGCCATGTGGCTGATAGCGCGCGCCACCCGCGGGACCCCGCCCCCACCCGCCCTCACCCCTGACATGATTCCGCCCGAGTGCCGGCCTACTAACCACGCCCAGGTACCATAATGTGAAGCATGCTCAGATTCTGTACTTAAACCGTACCGAGGTACCATACTGAAAACCATCCTCAGGTAGGTACTCTAATGTGACCACGCCCAGGTGATAATAATCCATTTTCCTCTACATTTACATCTACCTTTATGATGCATTAAAAATAGTAGTAGCTGTAATTAGAATAATAATATTATATAAAACAAACAGTATGAATAAAGAAAATAACTTTATTTCCTTACAATTTTTGTTAGAAAACTCATTAGGTTTACAGTGCTAGCCTTTTCTAAATACTTGCATTGCGGTGTCGCCACCTTCTGACATTTACATCATTCCCAGCGAGCGTCTTTTGTCGCGTGTTATTTTATCGAGAATACGCAGCGTGATCACGGCGACCGATAATAATACCACCAAAAGCACATGGTGGTTCCATCTCAGCTGCGTACCTTCCCACGTTATTAGCTTCACTGTGCCCAATAACACGTCGCGTTGCCAACAACTGTCAAAAGTATACAACTATAAAATATGCGTGTGTCATTTTGACGCAAACTTAAAATATTTTATAAGAGTCGTTTAGGTGAGTAATTCGTAGCGTGCTATCATAGTATAAAAAGTTACAGTGGGCAAATGCCTTAGAAGTTGCTCTCAATACTGTTTTATTTAGACATTCGTTTTTAACCATTTTTTATTATACATATTCAGCCTATTATAAATGAATAATAAACAACATCACATACATTGCTCAGATTCTAAGATGAGTAGCTGAAGTCTCCGTATTATGGAGTATCTGAGACAACGAAGGTACCACAATATCAACAGCAGTTAAATGACGTCCTTAAGCTCTAATTAATTAAATTTGTATGGTTATGTCGCTTGAAACTAATGACAATTTATATGGTCATTTGTGCAACTGGCTGTATGTTACTTAAAGTGTTTTAATCCAGAACGGACTAATTTGAATAAGTAAGTCCACAATTATCACACAGCTAAGTCACGTGACACACAGACGAAAAATCGCGACTTTTAATTTTAGGACAATCATGCGATTTTAAGAGTAAATCAGAATCTTTGTTTACTACAATGTAAGTTGTAGTTTTTATGAATATTTGTGACTTATTTTTCACTACCGAAACTACTCTATTCAAAGTATGTCAATAAAGGATAAGGGATTTAAATAATGGGCAATATTTGCCTATACAAGTTTGTGTCCGAATACTTGACAGTGGAGAATACAAGCTGATCTCTCGCATTGAGGTGTACTCGTCCCCCGGTTTCACGATCCACTGTACGAGGATTAAACGTCTTGGTCCCCACCCGCCAACACACTGGTATATCTCTCAGGGATAACCTGAAAAGTATATATCTTACATATATCCAATCAGGTAAAATGTTAAGAAATAAAAATAAGTATTTATACATTTTGATGAATAAGGAATATTACACAAAGCTTGCTGTAGATGGCAGCGCTAGCACAATAGTAAACAAACAATGTCATCGAACATTTGTGTTTTGGATATAACTGTTGTGATAAAGCTCAAGATTAACAACGTTTCTCCTTTGATTTCAAATATACTATTTCATGAAGTTTATTGATTAAAATTTGAGTTAGAAATGTTGTAGTTATGAATCTTTTATTAGATTACTAATAATACCCTGGACACGTAATGTTGAGCGGTTCGTCTCGTACTGCGAACACGATTTCAGCGCGAAATTTGGGAGCCGGCATCGGCACACCTTGCCAGAGAGAGTATACCCCATCATTATTGTTTGCTCTCTCTAACAACACGCCTCTAGTTGAACGGACTTCGAATATGGTCGACGGCGTACATTTAACCTGTTCGGATAATACATTATTTAAATTAAACGTTATTGTAAGCACAAACCTGAGTTTTTTTTGCCATTCCGATGACAAGGAAAACAACTGATACTTACTTTACACAAACCTAACATGATTTCGTTACGACGCTGACTGATGTTTGCTATATTTCGGAGAGTCTGTGGCAGATGTCGAGATTGGCACGGTATTCCATCTGGAAATGCTGCAATGATATGAAAACATAAAGGGTTTGAGGATATTTTTAGTTTCTTAATTTTCAATTGAAACGTGTAATACTAAAAATGCGTTTTTTTACCAAGTCATTAGTTTTGAATAAATTTTAAAATTATGTGTAGGGATTATTTCTGTGTCGCGATGGTTACGAATTTTATGACGTCATAACAAGGTATGTTTTTATTGATTAGAAAAGTAAAGATTTAAATGTTATTTATATGTTGATATAAATGATTTATTGAAATTCAACTGTGGCAATTTTTGTGAGTAGTGTTTATGTGTTTTCTGTTTATTATGTATGAGGCGTAAGTTTGCAGTTTACTGTATCGATGAAATCGTTTGTGTGCTTAATGACGAGTTCACGTTTCGCTTCTATTACCGTAAAATTGTATTTGTTGCATTAAACATTTTGATTGTTACATCAAAAGCGATATTTATTAATCTAACCGTTTGTGCTATATAATAGTCTAATTCAGTATGTAGTTTCGTCATTTAATTTGTTATTAATTTTTAGAGATTGAACTATTTAATTTTAATATAATACACACCGATATGGAAAGGGAAGTTATTATAAAACTAGCGCCCTGGGGCCAAGTGATCCTACTTTATCCTGATATACCCTAAAATATGTGATACCGAATTATTTTATGATTACGATTGAGAAAAAAATATTTATAGCTTTAACATATTTAGCTCATTATTTTTTACTGAATGTATGCCTTTCTTCTCGGCCAATTAGTTGTCGAGAAAGAGACGTTAAAATGTTAAATTATTAAACACTATTTTGCCAGTAGGCCAGCGTGCATGTATCGGTATAATATGTTATAGCGTTTCAAAGAGTAATATATAAAAATAGCTCGTTTAACCTTCAAGCAGCTGCATTGACTTTTCTGATAAGACATCTTTCTTATGGAGTGAATTAATTTCCTCAGCTTCAACAACTTCGTTCTGTATGAAAATTTGATATTATTTCTATCTTAAATTATATTTGTGCGTAACTTTGGGTATGTAGCATTTTGTGTTATATTTAAAATTATTAAAAACAACTATAGATTATAAAATACGGAAAGAAATAGTTTACATCTCGTGTTATACTCAAAAATATTCGAAATAATTATTATGCGGAAAGAATGTTAGTTAATCTAATTTGAACCGGTCACTAACCTTTGTCTTATCGATCCCAGTCTCAAGGACATACTCTCTTAATAAAGCAATAGTAAATCCACCTGGTCAAGTACTCGAAATCGAAATATAGGATTTTTTTTTAAAGTCTATACCTAGTTAAAAATCTGTTACCCTTACTCTGCGCTGTTTTTCACTCACAATTTTGAGGAGACATGTGCCGTATCTCCGTCTCCTGCCGACTTTCCCGCAAACGCTGCATTCGCTCCAGGGTGACCACGCGGTGTACACAAGCAACGGGATATTCCCCATCTGTATGTATATCGAAGGAGTCGGGTGGACGCCGCGGGTGGTTAACGGCTTAACCTGCAAGTATAATAATGAATAGTAGTTATAGATCTGGAAAGGTATAAGGCCATATAAATAGGCTTCTTCTAGGCAAGCTAGTCCCATTAGATATCATTCGTGTCCTCAGGCTGGATTGAGATCAAGAGTCCATTAGTATTAAAAAATAAACAAAATAGGTGACAATGAAAAGATACCATTACAAATATGTAGTATTTTAACATGTTCGTATTTTGAAACATACTAACAACGCTGAATCCGTGTGAGGAGTCGATAACCTCGAGGATGACAATTCCTCCGACACTGTTTCCTATAGAGCACTGGTATACGCCGCTGTCCTCTAGTCTCGCCCCGTGGATCGTTAAATCGCCGTTGTCTTGTACTACCATGTGATATTTTGGGACCATGAGCTCGAACGGTGACTCCAGTGACTAATGACAATTGAATATATTGCATCGGATGTTTGTACTGTTACCTAGAACTTAGTGTCTATTTGGAAGCTGTGGTGACTTGCATAAGTGACATCTATCTCACCGTGTTAACATAGTCACAGCCAAATCTTAATTTAATTTATGTTTAAATAACTTATTTATCCGTGGAATTGCGCGCCCCAGCCTTACAACAGAGGAAGGTACCATTTCATTTTATTTCTAAAATAGGAGGACCACAAGAACCTTCGGTGCAACAAAGAATAAATATCATATTTATCAAAATGTTAAATTCTGACAGTCGTTGTTGAACTTCACTTTCTTTCACCCTTAGTGCTATCTGCATTAAGGGTTAAATAGATCGGGATAACCTTGATATACATTTATTATCTTATAAAATTATTAATATTACATTTAAATCCTCGTAAGCTTAACACTCGCGGTATATATAGTATCCATTTGTAGTATTAGTGTCAAGATAGTCTCAAGTGAGTTTTGAACCCAAGACCATAAATTTTTCTTTACTTCAACATCGTATTAAGTATCGTATGAGGCAATGTGCTATTCTCGCCTGAGTATTCTGTACCATACTTGTGATCGTAGCCAGCGTAGGAGATTCCGCTCGTCGGGCGCGACACACAGAGTACACGCCAGCGTCACCAGTGCTCCTTCTAGCGGGGACTGGTACACCGCGCCCAATCCACCTGATCTAGTCAAATGTCCCGCTACTCGAATCAAACACTTGTAATGTTCTGACCAAATGTTAGAATAATAATTTATATTAGCTTCATCGTTTCCTAAAAATATCAATGTTAATAAGACGTCGTCGTCGAAAATATTTAAACTTTTAAAATGTAAATACTTAATAAAGTTATGAACATTTGTATGTTTATCTTACTAGCAAAAATATGTACCAAACGGGTGGTAGGTAAAATTGTTGAACTATTCAAAAGTACTCTTTATAAATTTATTAAAGATTATTTGACTTTTATATTGACTTGTTGAAATACAGCCAGTATATACGTTTTATGGATCGCGTTGATGCAATGTACATTCGGCACAGATCGTTAACTTATCCTGTATATAATATTACAGAACGCACACAAAGAGTGCGCGTTAGTTTCAAAATTTTATGTTTCGAACATCATATTCAGGCAGGACTGGAACATTCTCCTAACAATCAAGGCAGGGCTACTTATTTTTAAAACTTACTCAGGTATTCTAGGTCGTCATCAGTTTCGAATTCCCATTTTTCGTTGACATTTCTTCGACGTCTTATCTCTGCCTTGTTCATTCCATTCTTTTTATTATAAGTATAATTGAAACTCATTACACTGTGTATAATAATTTCGACAAATAAAATATATAACAATTTAACTGCCATCATCTTGTCACTACATATGTCAGGCATTTGAATTTAGATTTGCAATCTTTTAATTGAAGAAAGTTAATTATTTTTACGAATTGTAAACTTCTTTAACCCTATACACAGATTGAAATCCATAGATAAAGTACCTATACTGATAGACCAGCAATGGAGTTGGTAGGGTGATACCAAAACCGAAATAAACTGAAGTGTTATGCGCAAGTGTGCGTGGAAAAAAGAGTTTCAAGGAGTTACGATGCAACACATGAACGAATATACATACTTAATGATCCATTTTGCTTTGTTGTAGTTGGGTGGAACTTAATTGTTTCTTTTTTTTTTGTATAGAATACTAACGGATCTTGATAAAGTCAAAATTGTTTAACATTTAATTGATAGCAACAAAATTGATTGTAGAAAAATGAGCCGGCATTAAATCTGGGTCCTCAACCGACGCCGGAGATGGAGGCAATCGCGCGCGAGGTTGACGCGCTCGCTCGCGAACGTCTCGCCCTAGACGCTGAGCTGGCGACCAAGCAGCGGGAACTCTACGTCAAGACCGGAGAGGCGGACAGTCTACAGGTCGGTCGGTTAATACTATGGCGTTCCTTCACCAGTGAATTTGTTAAGTATCGCTTTTAGAATGACTTATTTCGTTTACAGAGCGAGCTCGACACGTTGACGGCGACATTGAAACAGTTAGAAAACCAAAAAGGGGAAGCACAGAAGAGATTAAATGATTTAAAAGCGCAGGTGAGTAGATACATGTGTATTACGGAAAATTTGCGCAATAAATCAGTGCTTTACGAGCCACCGGTCGTGTTACCACCCTACTTAATAGTGATGTGAGTGTGTCGGTGGTGTTAGGTGGAGAAGCTGCGGTCGCAGGTGTCTGCGCAGGAAGCGGCCGCAGCGGAGACGGAGGCGGAGGTGGCGGCGCGACGGGCACAAGCTAATTCGTTGCGGGAGCGCGAGCAAGCGTTGCAACAGGAACACGACGCGCACACGCAGCAAGCTGACCAACTCACCGCCCACTTGAGACGCGCCGTGCTTGCACTCAGCCAGGTACATACCACACACCGCTCGCATGTTTTCATTTAACCAAAAAACGGCTATTTAAATAAAAAGTAGGTAGTAATAATTATTTTATATGATCACAATAGGAAAAATTGTTGTAAAAATAGCTTTAATACTTTATAAAATAGCATTCAACCCATATTAAGTACACCACTATCGGACGCTGGATAGAATACCATCATTATTATTTAAGCCTTTGTTTCTGATACTAAACATAATAAATTCAAATTTGTATACAGTTTTATTTCAATCTAGCTTATTGTATTTCCCAGTTTAGTGACCTGTGTGTCCTGTGACACATAGGCCTCTTTCAGCTGTTCTGTTTCTCGCTTTATTAGTCCATATTGTCCTTGCAGTAGCTCTAATGTCGTCTGTCTACCTTAACCTGCCTGTCTATTCTTCTTTTACTCTCCCTTGGATGCCTTTTTGTTATAATACAGAATAACAATCATATGAAGTTCAGTAAGTAATAGTTGTTGTATTTCCTTCAGGCGAACATAAAAATCACTCACCTGGAGGAGCAGCACCGGTTGATAGAGAATGCGGTGGAGGCTCTGTCTGCTGGTGGGACGGCCGCGGCCGCCGCCGCTCAGCTGCAGCCGCAGTTCTCGAGGGAACACCTCGACAAACTCGTGCGCGGAGCCACGCCCAGCGACGCACTAGTCAGTACTGTCTACATTACTCTATCCCCTTTATATTATAAAATATATATAATTTTCAGATCCCTACCATTTTGATTTTTAAGTAATGACGTTAATCGGGTTCCTAATGACGCTTGAGGGCTTAATTTATTTGCTCTCGAACGAATGTTTGGAAAATTTCAAATAGTTCTATTTTGTAAACTTCATTTACTTCATTATTTATATCAGTATATGTATCAGTGCAGGTAGTGCAACCTCCGTTGCATCATAAAAAATCGAAAAATGCGTTTCCCTTTAGTCATATTCGGGTGATTTTACGGAAACTTGCACTTCCGGTTTAATACATCGGTCATTATTGTTATTTAAAAACAATTAATCTTGACTGGTATTTTTTTTTTAATTTATGTAGAATCTGATGTAGCAGACTGGTGTTGCTGATAAAGAAAAGATATTAATAAGATGTATTTTTGAAGAACAATGATGTACCAAACCAGAAGCTTCAGTTTCCGTAGAATCAGCCATTAGCATTTTGAAAATTGACGAAATTTCGTTTACAAAAAAAAAATAGAATACATAATTAGGTGTCATATTAATTCGTATGAGTAGAATATAATATTTTGTATTTTGTAATGCGATGACATTTCGTCCGTTTTATTTCTTAGGAGGATGATTCGTTTTCCAAGAACGAGTTCGGTGCGATGAACGGCTCGACGGGGTTCGAATCGGATCCGTTCAAAGACGCTTCGTTTGGCGGCGTCGCTCCAAACGATCCATTTGCGCCCGCCGGAAACGCGGCGCCGATACAGGTGTTTATTTATTTTATTATGCTATAGTTTCATCATTTATATTTATTTTAACTTTTCATTGCCATTTATATGTCGATTCTGAAGAACAAAACATTTTTCAAAGCCATACTTGGTAAATGTTTGAGTTAAAAATCAGTCTCTGTAAATAATAAATAATACATTTATCGATTTTCATAGCATTAATTACCTAAAATTATATCAGAACTAGCTTTTGCTAGCGGCTCGCCCGCGTGGTCCTTAGGAAAATGTTTAGTGCGATAAAAAGTATCCTATTATCTAAGTCAGCTAATACTCTGTCTGCATACTAAAGTTCTGTAGTTTCGGTGTGATTGACGGATAAACATCCAAACAAAGAAATTTTGATATTTATAATATTTATAGCATATTGTTTGTGACTACTTTTTCTGTTCTTGCCATCATAAGAAGGCAAGTTACAACGTCAACAGCCTTTGTATTAACAACTTATATATATTAGCGCTGTGATGTCTTATAGTGTATTGTTATATCTATTTATATAATAAATAAATAATAAATATTTAACAACATCACATACATTGCTCAGACTTCAAGATGAGTAACTAAAGCCCCCGTATTATGGAGTATCTGAGATAACGAGAGTACCACAACACCCAGAGCCGAGTCAATATAGAAAAGTTCATTTCATACATTTTATACATTGGACCGGGAATCGAACCCGGGACCTCAGAGATGGCGACACCTTGAAACCGGCGTGCGAACCACTCGGCTACGGAGTTCGTCAAAATATGTTACTAATATTTTATATGTTACTAAGTATTTATTATATTAAACTTAATTTTATGAAAAAGTATTAAGTTTTGCATTAATTTATTATATGTCTATTGCCATAACATAGTTAAAGCTTAATATTGTTGTTTTTTGTTTTCATAGGATGGGTTCGGTTCGGATCCGTTTGCTCCCAGCAGTGGATCGGATCCGTTCGCCGGAGACGCTTTCGCTCCTACTGACAATAAGAATAAGGATAACGACGATGTGAGTTTGCATTATAGTATTTCAAGCATAGTTTATTAGATGTTAAGTAGGATAGGATTAATACAAAATGAATTGCTTTTAAGAGTCATAGCACATTTTCAGTGTCCGGCTGCAACGCGGCTATTTATTATTTACACTATATTAAGCTTTTGACTTGCTATTGAAATTGGAATATTGTTTCATAAAATATATAAGATAACATCAATATAAAAGAGGCAATGACAGCTGTCAACTTCAAATCTTATATTTTGATTTGAATACAACCAATTAAAAAACATCAGAGAGCGAAGGTTGTGGTTGTGAGCCGCGCGAGGTGGGTGGTGTTGTATACGAGTGGATGTGAGCGTACGTGTTACGTGCATGTGCAGGCGTGGGCTGCGGATCCGTTCGCGGTGCTGCACGCGCCCGTGCGGGGGGCCGCGGGAGGGGGGGCTGCATCGCCCACCCCGCGCCTGCCGCCCAAGCAACCACCGCCACGCCCCGCCCCGCCCCGACCCACCCCGCCACACAAGGTACCACCCAGCACAATGTTGATTACCTTACTACTACTGATGCAACCAATACGTACCTGTCAAATAAGACCTATTTATCGAACGTAAATACATTTTTTTCTGGTATTGTTTAATATACTATTGCCGATAGTCGCACTGTTATGCTTATTATTTTTATAATATTGCTTAAATTAATTATGAAAAAACAAATATATTATACTCGTCACGCCCCTCTTACTCATATCAAAACTTAGAAAAATAAAGTTTATGCATACATACAACGATATTAGTTTTAAAGGGGCCTGACGTCATAGCGACGCTATGACAGAAGTTGGCGTTTTAACGGGAAATTCTGCAAATTTAATTTATTTTTAGATTTTAACTTATTAAATGAATGTTTTTTATTAAAAATATTATAAAATTAAAATATAAAGAAGGTGATCTACACCCTTATTATATTACGAATATTAAAAATTGATCCTAAAACAAATTACGGTTTGCTCGTGAACATTGTCTCTGCAAACCCATCTGCGCTCTATATTAACTTTGAATTATTCATTTAAAGCATGGCTCGTGTGACCCAACAAGTGGTAACAAAGTTTCATGGGGTGAATTTTCCAGATTGTTTCTCTCACGAAACAGAACACTATATTTAACATTCCGTCCAACTGCTCGTAATCGCCGAATATTAAATTTGGTATTCGTATAGTAAAGTGGTATTCGTTGCATCATTTCTTCGAACGTCTGATTGATAGAGTACACTGTATAGAAAAATTATATCGCAGAACACACAGAAATCTAAGTCACCTTTATATTTTTACGTAATTAGGGAAAAAACTCAATCATAAAGTACCTGCATATGTATCAGTAATTTAAAAAAATAAAAATTACATCAGTATTAAAATTGTTAGGTTTGAAGTGGCGAAAATTTGGGGTATTATATCTCTCTTTTCAGTCGTTTCTCTTACGATTTTTTAAGTTGGTTTATTTTTTTATTGTTACGTATTATCCTTAATATATTTTGGAGATCCAAGTTTTCTAAAATTAATTAATGATAATTATTAATTCAAAAATCTACAAATATAAAAATAATAGTTCCTATTTAAAAATAATAGTAATAAATTTCTATAATTTTTTAACTTTTTAGAGAAAAAAATTCATCATTTTTCAATGATAATTGAAAATCAAAATTATATAGATACCGTAAAAATAGCTTTACATACCGTTTTTGTTGAATAAATGTAAGGTAGTTTTAAGCTAATGTTTAATTTTCAGATTTTATTTGATTCTCCCCAATTGTTTTGGTAATGTGTTTACCCTTCCTGTCTGTCCCGCTGCATGATAGCGATAGTACAGGCTAATTTTAACTACTACATACTTTACTTTTAACGCTGCAGAGAAAGTAAAATGTACGTAAACAGTATTATGCACGATGATAAAAGTTAAATTACGTCGCTTTGTGTATGGTGCCATCCATTTACTACGTAACAATATTTGACGGCCTTTGATTCTCTTTCCACCTAAACGAGAAAATAAAAACCACTTCCCCTTGTTTAACAAATTTATAAAGTAAGAGTTAAAAAGAAAAAGAAAATTAAGTACGGAGGGTTTAAAAAACAATAAAGCGCGGTTGCACGTGCATTTTCAAAGTATTACTTTATTTTTTGTGAACTTACTCAGAGCTAAGACTACCCTTCCTTCCCCGTGAAAAAAGATAGACATCAACTCCCCTTTCCCATTCAATAGTCTTACGTAATAAACGGATGGCGCCTAAGTTTAAAGAGAATGGCATTTTATTATTTCCATTCGCTTCGTGTTTATTTTAAAATGACCAATCTCATAATTGAAATTGTTTCTCTAGTGTTGCTTTGATATTGTTAACGTAAAAGTTTATAATTACTATAGATCGGTTTGTTTTGTTCTGCGATTTTACTTTCTCTGTTCTGTTTTGTTAAATGCCATTCTCATAGATGTCGGTGTCACAACCTTTGATAGAAGTACGCGTTTTCTTTGTCTTTATCAATTGTTGTAATTATTAAATCTTTTACTAATGTAATTTGACATGTAGATTTTAATTTACGTTTCCTATTGTTTTAATCATCCGATGTGACACTACGTGGCTTGTATTTGATGTTTGTTTGTGTTGTAGTTTTTGTCTGCTGTAAGTAAAATATTATATTAAATCCTACAGTTTCTTGTAATCGTACATTGTTTTCTGGGAATGTTTCATTATACTTGTAGCATGGGCACAGAATAATAAAGCTCCAGTATTTGTTCCGCATCACGTTTGCGTTTTTTAAATAGATGGATCGAGATCACGCCTCTTAGATGCATTAATAATATTTGCATTATCATTCACTGGCTAATATATATCATTTGATTTTTTTACAAATAGCACATTATCGCTTCAGCTTACTCTCCTTTTCTGTGTCACGTTTTATACTTTTTTCATTTATTAATATCATTTTTTTTAATAAGTTAAATGTATAATACAATAACATTTATTAATATTATATCGTATCGAAACACGACGCGACTTCACGGGGGCCGGTCCGATCGTGATAATGTTTTGCTCTAGTACCATTCGGAATGATGCGCTTCGTAGCGTCATTGGGGTGAAAGGATCGTCCCGGTGAAAGTCGTGTCGTGTTACGTCCTCATGTCACATACCACTAACATGCTAACCACGGCTCGTGTGCTTGTCCCCACATTGCAGCGCTAAGCGGACGCGGCATCGACGAGGGCGACACGTGCGTACACTCTATCTCTATCCACCCGGCAGATTAACGCATACTTCTCACTCACCCGTTTGTTACGTCCAGACACGCGCGGCCAGCGCCATGGACTTCACCGAGGACCCGTTCAAGGACTACCGCTACGAGGACCCCTTCAACATCGACGACCCCTTCGCGGACGCCCCGGATTCCAAGCGACCGCCGCGCGCCGCCTCCGCCGTCGGCTTCGACACCGATTCGTTCTTCGCTTCAAATCCCCTCCCGCCGCAGCCCACACACGCCACGTTCGACATCCGCCCGCCCCCATCCCGCGGCGGTCGCGTCTCCGCACCTCCCCTCGCCGTCGATCCATTCGCCGCCCCCGCCTCCGCCCCTTCCGCCGAAAACAACAATGCGTGGGCAGCGTGGCCGGACGACGAGTGGGCCACGGACGACGCGTGGGCGACGGCCACTGAGCCCGACCGGAAGCACGCGTCCGACCGGAAGACTGACAATCGTGCCGCCGACCACAACAGAAACCTAAACGAGACTTGGCCATCTAGCACACTGCCCGCCAAGAAAGAGAAGAGCCCGCGCCCAGTCAAGTACGCCAAGTCGCTTGTGCACACGATAGGTGGCATTGGCCGGACCAAGCAGAGCAAGAAATCGAAGAGTGGGGAGGCGCTACCCTCGGAGGAGCAGCAGTGGGCGTGGGCGGCGGCCGAGTCGCGGCGGCTGGAGGCTGAGGCGGCGGCCAGGAGGCAGCGCGAGGACGCTGAGCTTCAGCTTGCGCTCGCCATCTCTCGCCAGGAGAAATGAACGCATCGTTGCACACTGCCCCGCCCCGGACGAACCGCACGCCTCGTCTTTTCTTTCCGTCTACGGGAGTTAAACATGCATCTGTCATCATAACAACATCACCGTGTCATTTCTTATTTCTATTTAATAATTCTTGATGACAGAAGTCAAAATTAGATTTGTCCGATAATCGTGCATGTTTTGGACTTAGTTTCCCGCACTGGAATGTTGATGCGGTCGGCGCGTTGTCCTCGTCGTTCCCGCGGTTTTATGTTGTTGTCCGTTGCGGACAGTCAGCTTGCATTTCGACTTCGCGTGCTAGTTGATATGAGATTATTAGTGATTCGTTGAACCACATTCCATTCACGTATCTTCGTTCGCTTGCGAAGAGTAAATTTGAAGTCGCTCCGACGCTTAGACCGGAAACGGGTCGTAAAATAGTTTGAATTTATTTTTCGTTCGTGGCGTGCGATACTTATTTCACTTATTCGTCTGAAGGACATCGATCACTATCGATTTAGCGACGATGGCTTTATTGGCATATCTTATTATTACCGATCGTTAATTTTAGCAGGAAAATCTGGCTAGTCAATTTGAATTTAAAATTCGGTGTCCCGAATCAAGACTTCGGGCGTCAGGAAACGGTTGCGACCGTTTAGAGAAATCCTGTCGTGATAATATAAATGAAAAATGTTAAATTTTAACCGAATATTATTTTTTATTAAATATAATTATAATTGTAGATTAGAATCTCCTCACGAGTTAACGGGGCAGACAGGAGTTTTCTAAACGCCTGCAACGGTGTTGTAAAATGTAATATATTGTTATCTGCGAACCGAGGCCTAAAGCTTCACTGTGTATAGTTTGTTAGTCTTAATTTTTTATTATAATTATCATGCATGAATTAATCGCAATATATATGTGAAAAGAGCGTTTGATGCAGTTGGCTAAAACTACTAATTGATAGTAGAAATCATTGCAGCTTTTGGTAACATTATGGCCATTGCCGAAAAAAGTATTATAAATATTTTCTATGGGCTTTCGAACCGAATGTTATGGGGATACGAATAATCAGGTTATTTTAAAAGCAGGTTTCAATTTTGAAACTTAAATACCTTTTTAAGTAAATATTTTTTACTCAGCTGTCAAACTGGAAGTTCGATTATCGTCAATAGTTTATGTATAGTGAATATCTATAAAATTATGTAGTTTTAATGTCTTGATATTATTAGTTGTTAATTTTCTTTTAAGATATTCGCCAATAGAAATATAACAACTATCATATAAATTTAAAAAAGTTGATTATTTTTATATGTATAAAGTTAATATGCATATCTGTCAAAGTACAATATGTTCAATTCATGGTATGATTGTTGATTTGTTATTGTTTTTCACTATATTGATAATATTTGATTGTGGTTAAACTTATAATTTATATTTCCAAAGCTATATACCGATCGACCACCGAATGCTCAAATATTAATTCGTATAAAATAAATGTAGTAAAAGTTTATTTATTTTATTAACTGAATGATTAGCGATGTACTGTTTGTATTCTGTAGTGCCTTTCGCTGTCAATGTCGTGTTCTCTTCTTCATTTCTTTATGATCGAGTGAGTGAAAACCACAAAATGTGCGGTGGTTTGACTTTTGATACGATACGACAAAAACATATTATTTCATGCAAAAGTTAATATTGAAAAATACAAAAATTAAATAAAAAAATTGCAATAAACTAATTTTTCTACCAATTTGGTAGATTTATATTCAATTTAGCTATTTAAAATCGCAACACTCGCTTATGTGCGCACGGACCCTACGCGCCGCCTCGGTACAATAATTAAAATAAGTAGCACTCTCTTGTTGAGACATTAATACTTAAATACTTTCACCATTGTCTATGGACGCAGAAATGTCTCCACAAGTAGCCCCTAGTTATAGGTTATACTTAATTAATATATGATTGTAAACTAATTGTGTAACTATAAATACCAGTGTGTTTATGGGTAAATATTATCCTAAAGTTGTTATCTCTTTCTTAGGCGCTGTTGTTTGTGGTTCGTTGGACCGCGTGGTGCACTGCTCTATCTAAAGCATATTTTCATATTGCCTTTTAATAGCGAATTGAATGTTCATTTATTTAAATGTATAAAATTATCTATGCTACGTTTAGATGATAATATAGTTAGATGTAATTGTTGATATGTAATATTATTTTAAACACTATTTTCATTTAGTTGTTGAATGCTATAATTGGTATATTTCTGTGTATCATTGGCGATTCCAATTGTAATATTTGAGTAGGGCGAGTATGTTTTGAGTTATTTTTTTGTGGGTGGCTCTGCGCGGTCCGCGATCTGTCTGTTATCAAGTATATATTGTATGTACTTCAGTAATAGCGGAATAAACTTTAATTCTTGACGTTGGCGTGTATATGTGTATTTAAATGCTGAATTAAATAACGGAAAATGATTAAATTTGATATACATACAGTACGATAGGTTGGTAGTGACGGTGCGCGGTACATGGCAACATTAAACTCGGCAAAGTGTGTGTGGTTTACTGCAATAGGTTTGTTTTAGCGTATTATAATCTGGATGTATGACGCTATTATCTGGAAGTTAATTTTGGTTATATTTTATTTTTATTCAGTTACAGGAACTAATATTAGTTGCATTTCCTTGAACTTGCTAACGGCCGATGATTTATTTTTATATCCATGTATTGGCTTAAGTTTTTGTGAATTATTATGTAAATGTAGTTTGAAATGCTTTAAAAACTAATATAAATATGCAATCTCGCTAGCTTACCGCGCGCCATCTTAGAATATTTCATCGAATCGTTTGAAATTTTGAAGGAAGGATTGTAGTACGAGAAAAAGTGCTGTGTCGTTTGATATAGGAATATCGATTAAGAATAGTTGTTAAATCGGAAGGGTGTGCGACAAATTAGCAACGGGTCTGCAGTATTTTTAATCAATTTACGAAAGCACGTAACCGTTCACAGACGTCATATAGAAATAGCTTGGGGGTGTCGGTGAAGGGTATGAGTTCGCGCATTTGTACGTAATTATGCGTACCTATATTAATAATATGGGAAATATCGTTTCTTATCACCAAATGAATCTAGAAATATTCCACTGGGTAAGCATAATCGAGGAAGTATTTGGTGGACTACCTTCAGCGATTTTTGTGTCTGAAAGTATAGTTAAAACATGTCAGATTATAAAAAAAAAATGCTTTAAAACGTTAATTTGTCATTTTGTATATTTAAAATGATAGCTGTTTACATTTCAACCAGCAAGAACTGTTCAAAAGGTTTTGTATCCGCAGTTGATTGCCTCGAACTTCCTCATTGATATATGTCCCGCGCTCTTTTCATTTAAGGGTATAGTATACACTAGGAAAAGTTGTAACATGTACATTGTTGATGGAATGTGGCCATCGGTATTTTAAACATTGAAATTAACGAATTATAGACGTTTGGGATAATGTACCTATACGAATAGGGTTGTAGTGTGAATATATATATTGAGAAAATTACCAGTATTCGAGTAATTTTTAATTATCACAATTGGTTATACATAGTGTAATTTGTGTAGCATGTTAGTGGATTTACACGAGATCACTAGTTGATGTGACATAAATAATAATATCAATTGCCCAGATTATGTTATTGCCGCATGATTTGCTCTCCACTTGCCAAATTGTGTTTTAAGAGGCTTACTCCACAAATATCGTGGGATAATATATTATTTTCTTAAATGATATAGTCACTAGTCTAGCCACTGCTTTGTATGTATAAAAAAAGTTTCAGATACTTGTTAATCTAAATTATGAAATAGCGAACTGAGAATGCAGCTTTGAATCTTAATACAAAAGAGGTAACTATTGAATATTGGTTTTTGATAGGTCCATAATAGTGAGCTTGTGTAATCTGCCATAACGTTCGATGCAAAATTCATTTACACTCTGTGTCATATAGATCGAATCGCCTTAAGTGTTGAGTTATATGTACACAAGCAAGAAGAACATTCTGCAAAATGAGCCAAAGTGGTCAAAATATGTGTTTGTCATCATAGTCCATTAACTGTTGGTGTGCCCGTTGGTCACTTAATTTACCACGCGCGTAGATCATTTTCAATGTGGAGTGGACTTTTTGCCAAACAAAGTTTCTGTCGTATTTTGTGTTATGTAAGCAGTTGCTAAATAATGTATCCGAGTGCGACAGATGGACCTCAAAAATTATGCTTTCTTATAAATGCTCATCCAAATGACTATTTACTTTGATGCTTCTATGTGACGTTGAATGTACATACTAACAGGATGTCGTCGTCCGAGCTCAAGCAATTGAGCAATGAACTATGATATCGAAATAGACGTAAATGTCTCGTTATTGGTGTAGTTGGATATGGCGTGTTCGTGCTAACTATCCATAGTGGATAGTTGACTGATAGCGGACGGCGACACTTTATTTAATCACAACTAGTTTTATATGCAACGAAGTATGTAAATTTTGCAACTGTCTTTGTCTGCGTGTATTGTTTCTGTGAAACTGTTCATTCCTGGCCTATGCTCGTATTTATTTATGACATATTCGTGATATGTATAAGTTATAAGCAGTATTTTTTTTGCAAGTAATCATATCAGATTACTACAAAACTCCAAATGTCCTGCAATTAATTTAGAACTTAATAATTAATAGATTAAGACTTAAAATCGATTAGGGGTGTTTGGTCTTTTGTAATAACCTGACGTGCTGTATACTGTTCAGTTGTTGTTATATGATATGTCGATTATATTCGTATCATAGAATAGGTCTGTATCTATCATGGTCAGGTGTTAGGTTGGTCATTAGTGTTATGATGAGGCATGGAATATAATTTCTCATTGATAAAAATCTAAATAAAATCTTTAATATATTATCAGTTTGTGACGGAAGTGACCGATAAATTATTAATCCAAGCACTGAGTAAATATTTTTTTAAATAATTATTATATATTTAGAAATGTATCTTCGTACACGCAATATTTTTGAGTTTTGTGCGATGTTATTATCATTTTATCTAGCATAAGTAATTCTAAACAAAAAAATATAAGATAGATTATGATCTGTTATTGTTTGAATTAATTTTCCAATAGTTAATATATGTGTAGCTACAGCATAGTACAGTGTACCTCATATCATTATTTGTTTGCTTCACCTTGAGTATTGTGATGAGGTGTAGTACTTTGATGTTTACATTGATGAAACTGAACAGTTTTGCTCCATTTATTGATACACTTTTTTCAACATATCTACCGGCTAGCAGGTAAGTTATCTATTCTGTGGAAGAAGCTGTTCACACTTTAAATATGTATTATTGGAACATAATCAAATTATTATTATTAGCTAACAATGTTACTGGTGTCCACATATCGCCTGTTATATATAAATATTAGCCGTGACTTCGCTTTAAACTTCATTTACTTGTAAGCCGACCAATGTTTCTACGAAATTGTAATGATTTACTTTGATGATCGGTGTATGTAACCCTGCTCATAAGATAAAGATCGAACAGATTGAATACCTACTGTTTAAGTGCACGTCGTTCTAGTAACATGCAACATTAGGAAATTCTACTAGGTACTATATAAATATGGTTAAATTATAAAATAAATGTTTATATAAAAAGTTGTGTACGTTTGTTATGATATAGCGTGTACGACCAAGTAAATATATTATGAGAGATGGGCCGAGTATTCTTATTACCTATCACTCGATACCAGTGGCGGACTAACCTCATCGGAGGCCCGGGGGCGCAATAGACCCGGATCGACAACTTTTTTCAACCAGGACAGAAACTTGATATTGCGTTCGTTTACACCTCCTACCACCACCACATCTCCGCCATTCACATAATGATTTGGCGGATGGCTGTAGCTCATTTGTAGGCCCCCCCAGAACCCCCGTTAATCCACCACTGCTCGATTCACTACAACTTTTGGAATTATTCGTATTCGGTCGAATGACTGCTCTAATGCTGAATATTCGATTGAATAATAGGTTTTAAGTAATTGTACGTAAATGTACATACATATTATACCGGTTTTTACTTCTAAAACTTGCGCACCTAATTCGGGAGTAAGTTGCTTCAATACTCGGTACATCTCTTAATGATTGAATGTCAGTAAATCCAGGATTGCGATTGATGTAGGCATTGTCGCTCCAAATTACGACCTAACTTATAAGAAGCTGTATAATGTTATTTTTGTTTGATGGCTGTGTTTTATTTGCGTTTAGATCGCAAGGTCATTTTTGGTTTTAACTCTGCTGACACTGACTACATCTGAATTACATAAACATTATCATTCAATCTCATCAATAGATAAGCAGAATCAAAAATGTATGTTGTTCAGGGTAGTCAAGTGGCTGGCGTTTACGAATAATTTAATATTTAACTTTTTATTGGGATGCCAATCGAGTACCAGCGTTCGTGCATTCGTCATTACCTGCTGACATGTAATCACTGTAATGAAACTATGATATTATATTAATATGGAAACAAACAATTCCTGAAATAATAAAATGGAAAAACACGATTTGAATGTGTTTTATTGTTTATTCCTTTTTTAATGAGTTAGTTAATCTTATGCCACATCAATAAAGCTTCCTCTTGAATCACTATACATATTACTACTAATTTAGGAACAGCATTATTCACGTACAATAGCTAAAAGTATCTGTAACATATGTATAAAATTATTGATAATGTTCTCGAACTTGATATTTAAATTTATAATCGTGCAATTTTTCTTCGAAAACTTATGCATTTACATACATGTTACAATAAATGTTAAGGCTCTCCATTAAATAGTTCTTCAGAAAGTTGGAAAATATTTTCAAGTTACTTTCATGTATTAGACATGTAAGTTACTTCAAAATATTATCAGGTAGCTATTTAATATAGCCTCTTTTTTCTTAGAGTTCTCTAAAAAACCTCAGCTTACAGACAACGGGAAGCGATTTTGTTTCATACGAGTACAATATATAGATTAACTATGGACACGCATCAGTAGCAAGGTCACTATAGAATGCCAAACTTAATTTCAGTTCTTGAGTTAATTTTAATCTTAAAAAAAAAAAATATTCTGTTTGGGTGACTAACTGCTTCAATTAGATGGTAGCAGCTTACAATCTATTTAATGAAGAGCAAATTACAAGCCACCACAGATGGCAGTTTTAACGATAAAAATATTTGTAACCTAAGTAAAAAAAAAAAATTGAAGTGCAAAATCAAGATGTCTTAATCACTAAAATAGATAACAAAAAGCAATAATAATGAGCCCATTAGTAAAATTAATCAATATGTTGTATATCGTGTATATCTTTTGTAGTAACCGCGGCCTCTAACTTAATAGGTATATAGGCTGCCCCTCAAAAGTTGCGTTATTAGTTGTAGATAACCATAAAAATTATAAAAAAAAGATATATATAAAAAGATATCTTGAGGGCTCTACAGGCATTTTCATTAAAAAAAAAATTAACCGTCCAGTCAATGTCACATATACTATTTAATATACGTTACTCCCATTTTATTTTATTGATAGTGAAGACCTAAACTACGATTTGCAGGTAATGACAGGATCTTTTCAGTTAGGAATTGGTTTGGATCGAACTCGCAAAATAAGTGTTTTGACTTGTTTCTCTCAAATTCTCTACTTCTACGGTGAGGCAGTTCGACTCATTATCGTTCGTCGCATATTGCAGTAAGGTATCGCTGCGTACTTTCTTGTGATAAAATACGTGTTTGTCTTACGTTTTAATAATGGGTTCAAGACGAAGTGAGTGTGAGTGATACAACCCAGATAGCAATTTATACTTGTTTCTGACTTGCAACAAGTTTGAAACATCAAAAACGAAGACTTGCTTCAAGTTTGCCATGACAACTGCAGCAACTTGCAGCAAGTTTTAATCAAACTTTCTAGTTTCAGTGTGACAAACTTCACGTATCAAAGGTGGTGTTCGACGATAGATACCTACATTCGAGAACTTGCATCTTGCAAAATATTAAAGGCCCTGAGATGCAGAAAAGAGTTACTCTCGCAGGGTATTTAAAACACCAAAGCTTAACTTCTGTGCAAAAGTTTACATTAATATAATATTTTGACAAGAGTAAGATATCGGCTCCACCATTTTGCGACACATCTCCAACGATGACCTTAGAATGAAGGCTAAAGAACACAGCCTCGACATTGTTGACTTCCTCTGTCACACACAGGCAGTGGAAAATGTGTGAAAGTAGTGACAGAGGCTTCTCAAAGCGTCATGGACGCTACAGCTCGGGATGGTTTCATTAGGAACAGATTAATATCTCGCGCGGCAATGCCTAATTTTGGGCAAAATAACAGTTTTTTTTAAATTGCCACTTGTTACTTATCTTTCAACTATTTTAAACCTTGCTTTAAGTTATTATTGTACCCATAAATTTAATAAAAACCATTAAAACATTATTTTTGATTGATTTATAGTTTATGTTAGGAACCTCTAAAAAGGAAAATTTGAAAACCTTCAAGGCGGTTCTTGAAGGGTCCTCTACCGGTGTAGAGACCCCAAGACGAAAGATATCTAATTAATTTTTTAAATAATCGTAATATATTTGTCAACACTCAACTTTTGACACCTCTTGCGTAATCATATCTAGAAATTATTTTTGCCCATACATGGACTGGACACCCTAATGAGCATCTCAATGGCGTCTCAATTATTTGGAATTTGCCTAAACTCATTAGTGCAATGTCGTCTTCACACAAATCAATAGTGACATATATGTTTGTTATTTTGTCATTTAGTAACAAAAAACTATGACCTTGATGAACGTGCTGTCTACTGAATCTTCATATATATTGTGATGTAAGTCATTTTAGTAGTTGTGTTCCATAGAGAAATGTGTGTCCTTATAGCAGTCCCCAACGCACATAATCTTCGACGACTTCATTGAATCTCTCCGCGCAGAGGTCGCTGGTGTGTTGCATCATCTGCGTCATACTGTCCAAGCTATCGTAGCCGTGCCCCTGCACATGTCCTTGTTCAAGAGTGATCATGGGCAGCATCATTGCCGCCAACACTAGCCCGTAATGTTGCATCTGCAATAGCAGTTTACAATGATATTCATTGGCAGTTTATTAGTAATAGGTATTTATACTTTGTATATGATAAATTGATAAGTTATAATATAACAAATAACTTGATATCAAAGTCATGCTCTATTATCTAAAACGCTTTATTCTATGTGATTTTGTGAAAGATAATAATTACTTATTATTAAAAAAAAGTCCACCTTCCACCCAGTCTGTCTGTTCGTGATAAATAAACAAACGCGAAATCAAACTATGACATGGATTTTTATAAGTAGTGTTCATTAATCATATTATAAAGTGATGGGAAAGATTTAGATATATAATTTGATGACAAGGTGTTGTTTACGTTAGTTTTAAACCTTTTATCGAAAACGCCTTTAAGGTATAACAAAAGAATGCCTATTCTTTTCACTAATTAAAAAAAAGAGGAGATCCTAAACTCGACGTGATTCGACTGCATGTTTTTTGTGTGTTTGTTATGCTATAACTTTACAAACTAAATCGATTTCAAAAAAAAAAAATAGACAGTAACCACTCCGTTATCGTGCTCCTCGACGGATATATTATTAATCCTTATTAGTAATAGTTATCTTAATCATGTCATGCACATTATTATATGTTATGTCTAATTTACACCGTTTAATTTAAATGTTACCCTAAATTGTGTACCGTATAATATCATATCATATAATATCATAGATATCACAACAAAACTCACGCATGTGAAAATAAATTGAAACACACTGTCTCACACCGATGACGGAATCGTTTTTTAGCGGTCACCACCGCACCCAGCTGCGCTTCCTGTGATGGGTGGTTTATATGTATTAAGTAGATAAGTAGTAAGTAGATTTTTAACTTAATTTAGTAAGCTATATATGACTATAATTAGAAATAAATTTTAACTTGCGACTTATTATTTTGTTGTTTACACGTAGTTACAATTAAAATTAAGTTAAAATGTATTTACTACTTAAATACATTAAACCAACCATGACCCCCGAGTCCCTTTTGTGGGTAGTGGTACCTTCGTTATTTCAGGTACTCCATAACACGCTTTACCTACTCATCTTTGAATTTGAGCAATGCAAATTCAGATATGAGTTAATGCCCTATATTTACTCGAAACGTGCTCTGCTACCCATGCTAAATAAGGGCGCTAGGTAGTTATAAATAAATCATTTAGTACCGACCTTTTTGAGTTCAGAATCAAAAGTTTCTTTAGGGAAGACTATTCCTGGATCAAGATGTAACCTGGTGAGCGCGTGGCTCAGCTGCTGGTAGTAATGTTCCAGCAGCTTGTGGTAATACTGTTGACGAAACGCCGAGTCCGATCCCGTGAAGATGAAGTACAGGAGGTCGTTGAACACGCTTCCTGGGGTAATGGTTTGGTAATCCACTATTACCACTTGCAATTTTCCATTCTAGAGATAAAAAAATTTAGAGTTTATAAATATTTAACTTTGATTTTCTTCGGTTAGAACGTGAAAAAATAACTTACTTTATCGATTTTATGCATCAAGTTGCTGGGCCGGAAGTCTCCGTGTATGAGCACTGGTCTCTCGAGGGGCATATAATACTGAACTAGCTTAGTCATCGTGAGATTTTCCACAACAAAGTTTTGCACCTTTAGTCTGTACTTTTCCGTCACTAATTCCAATAGTTTTCCTATCATAGTCTGCATCATATGTACTAGAGGCGAGTCTTCTGGCAGTACTTTGCGTTTTAGGATATTCATAGCTTCCTTGTAATCGTCCGGATATTGTTCCTGATATGCTATTGACAGTGCATGTAGTTTAGCTAGTTGTTCCACCGCTTGCGATGCGTATTCCCAGTCAAAAGGAACCAGACGATCTAAAGTCGTGAACCCTTCGGCGCTAAAATCTTGTAAAACCATTACTTCATCTAGATATGTCTCGTTGCAACCATAAAATTTGGGTAGAATCAGTCTGTGTTCTTGAGATATTTTGTGTTCTTCTTGAAGGTCTTCATATATATTCGCGAGTTTTGTATAAAAGTGACGTTCGATATCATAAACATTGACGGGAGCTTGAGTGCGCAACGTTTCTCCGGCGACTGCTACTTTGGCAAACAAGTGAAGGTCTCGTTTGTCTGGAGCCGAAATAGTGACAAAGAATAATTGGGAAGTGAAATTCGCTCCAGTCGGAGGAAGAGCTTGTATTTTCAGTTCATACTTTTCGTAATTTTGTTGCTTGACAATATCATCGATAACTTTTCGCAGAAGGAATTCACGTGCGTCCGTCATGACACTGTGCGAGGAGGATACTGGACTGCTGTATTAACAAACTTCGTGGGCTACACGTCGCGTAACTGACTGATTGTATTTATAGATCTCATTGGTTACTATTATTCGGGAGATTATGCGTAATAAAAACATAGTGTATAGATTATAACTCTTATATCCTGCTTTTTGTGTTTATGATATCTATAATTAACAAAAAAAAAATCATTGGATATGTAATCAAATGATAAGATAATATTAAACTACCTGATAGCTTCGCCTGCGTATATCGTAGGATGAAGGAGTTCTTTACATAAATTTATTGATTCAGTCATTAAATTTATTATCACAGCAATGCGGATGTAGGTACATTATCGTATTTATAATACAATATTTGTTTTGCTTGATTTTGGAACATCAAAAGTTTGGCAGGTAAGGAAATGCGGATTTACTTTCTTGTCAAATGTAGCATTTCGATACCTTAACTATATGTAGCAAATGCTAAGGTTAGTAAGAGTGTCGGCACACTTAACCACTCTTTTATTCCAGCATTCAATTTTCAATAGCCTTCTGCATGAATAGCTCATTCGTGCAATTATTTATTGCTATTAAATTGTTACAGGCGTTAATAGTATCGTGCTGCTGCTCACGATTGTTGGTTGTAAAAGTCAGTTACAATATCTACCAGATAATATTTCATGCTTTTTTCGTTAAAAGTGCTTTCTTATACTTATGTTCACTGATATTTCGATATTTTCGAAATTCGTCACGGACACCTATCATTTCATTAATAACCTACAGAAAACCTCAGTCCGACTTCAATGGTATTTTACCGGACTACGGCTAAGTAAAAAGAAGGGTTATGATTCTGGCCGGGATATATGTAAGAATGTTCATCTGTTCCCTTATAACTTCGAAACTACTCATCGTAATTGGACAAATGAGGTAAGTATCATTAGAAGCGTTTTGGTTGTTCGCGTGCTGTAGGCTATGTAACGTTACATAAAATTGGTAACAGCACCCTCTAGAGAGCATAAATAGGAAACTAAAAAAATATAATCAAATCATTCCGTGTAAGGTATCAAACATATATATAAGTGTGTTTAATTTTTCTTCGTCTTACCTAGCAAAAAATTCTAGGACTTTACGTTAATCAAAACCAATTTTTTTTCATTACAGTTAATGTTTGAAAAAAAAAATCTGTACGTTTATGTTTTTTTATTTTATTAAATATTTTTATTCTGCAAAATAAGTCAAAGTCAATTTAAGTATTTTGCTTCAGAATGAAAACTTAAAATCTGTATATGTATTTATGTCATGCAGTTTCCATAAAAGTCCATAATAGTAGGTATGCACTAAGTCCCGTGTCTGCTTTGCAAGTAGTAAAGGAATTTCAATAAGTATCAGTCTTTAAAGTTTCCTAAATTTTTATTTTGGTTCCTACCGCTCTAATAATCTATTAAAAAATTATTCTTGACATTTTTTTTCTCATCGGTTGTTTAGATTGTTGTCTAAGTATGTAATCTGTTGTTTTTATCTTTGGTAATTTCCACAGAACATAGAGAGAGAATAGAAGTAGTAAGTGGGCGGGGCACGCGTCGCTGGCATATGCGCTTTTACTCATATGACGCCCTTTCCTCGGTTTTATGGTTGCCAGTCGTTCGTCAATCGTCGAGTGGTGATTTTACAGATTTTTTCTATAAAAAATGCCGTTTTGTGCTATTATCACTTGCAATAAGCAAAGCAAAGTATACAATCTAACTAATGCAAACATTTCCTTTCACTGGTAAGTACAATTTTAGTGCTAAAATATAAAAAGCGTAATAATTTGACACAATGTTAAATAAAATATACATTGATCGCTCAAACCAACATCAATGTTTCTGACCCCATTACTAAATAGCAATGTAAATCATTTTGTGCACTATTGCAAAAAATAGTGCTGTGCCTCCATTTGTCTGAAATGTACCGATAGGCTGCTGCTGCTCGGAATCGTATTGTTAATTATATGGATCGTAATCGATAACTAAAACATATTTATTTAGAGCTTTTCTTTCATCATTTCATAACAACGTTATCGATAAATATATGCCATAATTATATAAAACTAAAAAATACTGTTTACAAGGGAAAATTATAGATGAACTGATACTGAACAAATGAAATAATGAACTGTCCATGCACTTTTTTTACGAAGATTCGGTTAATTATTTACACGCAGATAAATATTAAAAATTACTGATGTGCTATAAATATCTAAGTTACGAAGTATATCACCGTTTTATGAACAATACATAAATTAAACGAAACTTCGTGAAAAGCTAAGAGTTGGCCTAATAGGTCTTGTTAGAAACTGGTGAAACTGGATTTCACTTATTTTGCATTACTTATATTTCAGTTTCCCTAATAACTTTACAACGGATTGCCTTGTTTACATAATTAATTTTGCCCTATCTGCCCTTTTAGACCTAAACCTATCAAATGAATTTCAAAACAACATAATATCTATACAAACAAAAAATTATGTTTTCAACTAACGTAATATTGTTAGTGGTGTGAATTTAATTTACAAAATTAATTTTTAGGCGTCAATTTAATTTACCTTATTATGCTGATTCATAATCGGAAACTATTATTATTGAAATCGAGTTAAGAAAGCCACTTTAAAGAACCGCCCACAGAACAGCTTTTATCAGTTTTTTTGTTGCTCCATATTTGCACATAAGTTTATAGACGCATGTCTCAAACGGACTTTATATGTAGATTGACGTTTGTACGTACTTATCGCTTTAGTGTCTATCTTCAAACTTTTTTTGTCACGGCTTTCAAACTCATACTTGACCAGCAATTCCTTATTGTCCAGTCGTTGCAATTAATTATTACAGATATAAAACTTAGAATAATAAAGTAAAACAAACATGGCTATGATCAATTTATTAGTGTAATGATCATATTAGTTATTATGAAATGAAATGAAAATATCTTTATTCAAGAAGGCTATTACAAGCACTTGGAATGGCAAGTTTATTTTTATTTCTACTTTTTTTTGTGAAGGAATCGTAATGTTTTCTTGCGTACATAATATTTTCATTGATGTATTGAGAGGCAACAGTCAAAATATTTATTTCTTTAAATATTTCTCTGAGAGATTCTCTAGACCGTAAATTATATATAGCGTGGACTAAAAATATCTTGAATGCTAGCCGCAGAACCCCATAACAATAGATTATACGTCATTCATTATACTATGAAAATAACTAAAATATACCAATCTTGCCGTTTCAACATTTGTTAAGAGTCTAATTTTCTTAACAGCAAATGCTGCAGAACTCAGTCTACTTGACAAATTATCAATATACCAAAATACCAAGGAACTTTGTCGATTCCACCATCTCAACTTTTTCACTATTTACATTTATAAGTATATTAACATGCCTCACATTAGGTAATGCAAACTTTATGTATTTCGTTTTATTTGAATAAAGCTTTAAATAATTACTATCAAACCACTGTAGAAAATTGTCGAACTAAATTACATTGAACTGTTTCATAACAAAATTTAAAGCTCTTATTTTATCAACTAATATGTCACATCACTAATATGCACAATCGGAATGATACCAGTAAGAAAAAAATACAAATTAGGCTTAATGTAATTAATACAAAAATTCTGTTGTTTTCTTAATTTTTGTTTTTTTTACACTTTCCCTCGCTTAATTATATTACTCCACAGACATGCGATAGAGTGTATCATTAAGTTTTCTTAGTTTTTGTACTGCGTTTTTCAAAAGATATTTTAATAAATTATGTACTGAAAAGCCTTAATTTTTCAGTATTCACTTGGTTACAGCAAAATCTAATATTAATAGTTCGCACATAAAATGATGACCCCAATTTTTTTAAATGTGCATAATCTTAAAATATTTTTTTCCTTCTGGTATCCCCATATACAGCCACGTGACAGTTCAACATTCATGTTAAAGTAAATTATTTATTATCACGTTGAATTAGAGTTTGTTTTTAATCGTGTGATTTCTTAGCTTAGTATCTTTTTGGTATTTGATTTATGTTATCGCGAACCTATCGCGTGGCGGTTTTTCATGTAGTGAACAAAATGATCATTTCATCTAATCTGTATTTGTGTGCGGAGAGGCGACACTCGGTTCCCATACTAAATTAATATCATTATACTTCTAATCTCTCTCTATGTTCTGTGGTAATTTCATAAAAATGTTATGGATCCACCTTAGCTTCAAAGCTTTTTATTAAAAAAGGAATTATAAAAGTTTTTAACTTTACATGTTTGCAGGGGGTAATATTCGGAAATATTGATCCGATTATGAAAATTTTTTCACCCACGGCATGGACGAATTTATTGCCCCAGAAGCTACATCATATGCTGGTGCTATGGGTTACAATTTACGCAGGCGAAGTCACGGGAAATAGCTTGTAAAAATATAAGCGTCGAAGATATAACCTCCTCCTATTTTAAATAAATAAAATTTATTGTTTTTGTAAGGAATCCTCCAATTAATAAAAGGCAACTTTAACAAAAAAAAAAACAAATTGAAGAGATCATACATAGGACTACAAAATATTGCATGGAACAAGGGAGCGTGCTCCTAACGATAGCAACGAAGAAGTCAAAGTTTACGTTTTCTATTACTTTAATTAATTAAGAGTCTAATCAACCAGCCCCTTTTCAACTAAATATATTTGTTATACATTTGCTTGATGAAGTGCTCAGGATTAATAGATAATAGTGTTGGAACATACCGATATAGTGATAAAACTGTTTGTTGCCGCGATACCTTACAATCAGACAGTTCATTGTAGGTACATACGTAACACATTCATATGTTGATTGGCGATATTGTGTAAACTCAAATAGGCTATGAATTAAAAAAAAGGAGAAGAAGATGAAGAAGATTCTAGCTTTTTCAGCATTATCTAATATTAAAGTAATTGGTTAGATATTAATTTATGTCAAATAAGAATTTTGGTTTTAAAGCCGGAGACGTCAATTAAACATTAACGACACCGTGATGAATTTGTATTGAATGCATATTCTTATAAAAATATTTCCTTTCGTACGCCTAGCGGTTTTTGGGGTTGCGTAACCAAGAGACGGAACCCTATTACTAAGGGGCTGTCCATTAATCACGTGATGTTTTTTTTGGCATTTTTAAACCTCCCCTCCCCCATAGTGATACATGGTGAGGTTTAAGACTACCCCCCCCCCCATCCCCATATATCACGTGTATTTTTAGTACTTACAATGAATCTTAATTTTCTAATTGTATTATAGACAATTAAAGAGTACAATAATGTCTAGAGGTAGACAGAAAGATTACAGGACTTGCAGGTTGTTTTTGATTGACAAAAATAATGAAAGGAATGCGAAAAACTTTATGAATATTTTTATTTAATGAACGTTTGACGAAAAAATAATTTTATTACACTTATTTACGCCACTTTTCGGTTGAGTATCGCGCGTTTGTCGAAAAAATAAATACACGTGATATGTTACTTCACCCCCCCTCCCCCCTTGTGATATTTCATGACTTTTTTATGGACCCCTCCCCCCATTTCGAGCCTCACGTGATTAATGGACAGCCCCTAAGACTACACTGTCTGTCTGTCTATCGTCAGGATTTGTCTCATGAACAAGGTTAGACAGTTGAAATTTTCACAGATGGTGTATTTCTGTTGTCGCTTCAATAACAAATAATGAAAACCAGCAATTAAATATTTAAGGATGTATGGGAGCCCCATACAACAAACGTAATAGATTTGTGTTAAATAAATATACAACTGGTTTGTGTGTGGTTGTATACATTGTTTACATTGTGGTGTAATTTGCATTGGTCAACTTTGACATATAGAGGACTGATTTCAAATTTGGAGTAACTCCTTATCTTATCTTCAAAAATAATAATTTGAGAAAGACTTTCATTATTCTCTACTATGGATTATATTCCATCTTTGGCTACTTTAGGTATACCTAAGTGCTCTGACGTACTTTCGCTCCATTAAACATGTTTTCAACTTGCTCGTTTCTATGCTTTTTCCTTAACTTTGGTTCAAGCATTAAAATACCATTGCGCCACAATTAAGATAATAAGCGTTGCGTCACGAAATCTCGATATGGCCGTTAGTCGTAGATAGTCGACCCACCGTCGTCAATGATGGCGCACGCTGACCAAACTCTAGCCGAGGTCCTGCGCGACATAGCTCGCGACCAACACTACGACGACCCGCATATTGACATCGACCCTATTAACAGCGGCGGCGCAAATTACACCTCAAAACTGTATCTAGCGACTATAACCTCCCAAGGAAAGGATAAAATCGATGTCTTCGCTAAAGTTGGATCAATCAACGAACAAATCAGAGCCCAAATGAACGCCGATTGCCTGTTTCGCACCGAACATATTATTTACACTAAACTCATTAAAATCTGGGACAGTTTACAAGAAAAATATCAAGTGCCTGACGAACACAGATTCGTATTTCCAAAATATTTTGGGGGCAATCTGAAGAAAGGGAGAGAGACGGTGGTGTTGGAGAATCTGATCACTGCCGGTTATAGAAGTTACGATAGATTTAAGTCTGTAGATTGGGATTATGCATCGAAATCCGTCGAGTCTTTAGCTAAATATCACGCACTGTCAATTATTCTAGAGAAAGAAGACCCAGAGGAGTATAGAAAATTCAGTGACCAATTTAAATTTGAAATGGTAGATGATGATGAGACTCAAAGAGAAATGTGGGCGAAGGTGGTGGAGGACGCTGTTGCGTTGATAGACGAGGAGTTGAGGGAGAAAGTGGTAAAATTTTTGCAGAGGGATGTTCGACAAATGTACATAGACTTCAAAACCCCCAGGGGGCTACCAGTATTAGTGCACGGAGATTATAGACCTAGCAACCTACTCTATAGAAGACAGGTAAGTAAGATATATTATAAATTATGATTATAATAATAAATTCCTTCTATGTTTTTATCTATAAAAATAGGTAAACGTGTGATAAAACCTATAATGTAAAAAATATCGTTTTGACATAATTTTTATTTGATATAAAAGTTTTTGGATTTTCGTAACGTCGATTTATTAAAATTCGTGTTGCTGTTAATCTGAGAAATAATACAATATCACTAGAACCATACTGGAACTATCATCATTTTCTTAGGTAATGACCATTAAAGTTTGAAAAAACAATTTATAACAAAAACTTACGCATTTTATTAAAAATAACCAGGAGGTAGAGTTTTTAATATTTTGTCAGTTCTTCATATAAAATTGTAATTATATGTCACGCTATATACAAACAGAGTACCCAATCGTTTTTTATTTATAGCGATCATACCTGTTACGGATATCAACTCGCTGATTTATATATTAATAATAATTTATAATCTCGTAGTGGCCTTGAACAGTCACTGATGATGTATAATGGCGTATCATTATCTAACAAATAAAACGACTGTATTCAATTGTACGTGTTATGTAGTAGCACAGAGTAAATAGGTGGTTACGTTACGGCAGATTATGAGCAAGAAGGCTGCTTTTTAACCGGCTTCAAAAAAAGGACGTGATCAATTTGAGGCGTATGTATGTAATTTCGTTGGAATGGCGTTAATATTCATATATGTTGATTTATATAGGATTCTAAACAAGTGTGCAAAATATTATAGATTGTATGTATGTATGTCTGTATGCTTGTCCACGGATATTTCACCAACTAGACGTCGTATATGGGTTCTGTAGTTTTCAAGATATATGATCAGTTGCTCAAATGTCCATTAAAGTTAAATGAAATATTTAAGCTCTAGTAAATGTCAAATTATATGGGTAATGTCGCTTTAAACTAATGAAAAATTTAATGGATGTTTGGGCAACTGGTCATTTAACTATTAAAATTTAAGCTACCTTTTAAAGTAGTAAAAAATTAACAGACTTATAAAAGGAGTTAAAATTAATGACCTTATTTTAACTTATTTCAAAAAAGGAGGCCATCACTTTATTATTTATTGCTGTAAGGGGCTATGCAGTTCCCTGCGATCATGAAGATCTATTGTGACTCGCTGCCAGATCTATAGTAACTCAAAATCTATAAAAATAATATTGAAGCGACATAGCTCATTTTTCGTTGTTTTTTTCCTATGTTGTATTTTATTACAAGCTACGAATATAGTTCATTTAAATAAAACCTTATTACATTCATTTAAGTTTATTTTTTGTATGTAACGGCTGGACTGGTTACAGGTGACCATAATTTACTTGCTTCCAATTAAATTAAGCCAAAAAATTACCTATAATAGAAGTTATTGAAATCGAATCATGCCTGCGATTTTGTAAAAAATGAAGCCAGAACTCAGATGTCCTAAATTCACTTCAAAAAGCGGCATCCGCTCAATCTCGAATTGGTGATAACGTTTCATGAAGTGAGTTTCGAAACGACATGGGAATAGAATGTCTAAGGCACGTATATATTTAATATAATCAATTTTGTTATGTATTAAAAAAAATGGAATTTCTACACTAAAAGACGTGAATTCGGACACATTGATGAATTTGAATTCGGGTCTGGATTTTTACAGGATCGCAGGGCTGATTTTAAACAAAATATTTTCGGGATGTGCGTTAATTATATTACATGTTGTATATGTGTGTCAATATGTTTAACAATGTATTTCTCGTAAAATAGAAATTGGAATGAAATTATACTTTTTCGTTTAATTAATTATTTTTCAACTTAGGGTAGGTTTTACTAACAACAACAACTTTAATAATAACACATGAGAAAACTTACTAAATATTTTAAGGAACGAACTGTTACCAGAATAGTAGGTTAGGTAAGGTTATAACTATGACCCCAATAAATAGTGGGTTACGTTAAGTTAGAATTGCTACCGTCACAGAAAATATTTATCCGGTAAATATAAATACAGACAAAGGTGTCCATATATTATAAGCAGTGGTCGGAATTAGGTAGAGTAATTCATGTACTTACACTGATTTCATACAGCGAAAGAATAAAGTGGATATGCCTCAAATCCCGAGATTAATTTTAAAGAGCAGAAAAAATCCCGCTATTTTTTAAATAAAAAGTTATTTACTTTTACACAATTTAAACTACTGCACGCACGACGTTGCCAAACTTACATCAATGAAAGAAAGAAATAAAGAAAGAAGAAATAAAGAAATCCCGGGAAGGTCCACATTAATATCAACATTTCGATGCAAGTACATAAATAACTCTACCTAAATCCGACCTCTGATTATAAGTTACTTCTATTAAAAAAATAAAAAATACGACTGAAAAGAGAGAAATAATATCACATATTTTTATCTTTATTTTGAGGTCGGTGCCAGATATTTATAAGAAAAAATATCATATAAGAGAAAAGTAGATTTGCTGATAGTGCTACTTTACTTCTTATTAATGACACGGCTAGCAGCGATCTCAAAAAAAAATAATTGTTTTGTGTGTCCTCTTCCTGTGTTTCGATTTTTCGAAGATAATAATTGGTGGTATTATTTCTCTCTTTTCAGTCGTTTTTCTGTTGCACCGAATTTTTTGAAGTCGGTTGCTTTTTTCTTACTCGAGTTAAGTAATAAACAAACATCAGTCGATCACAAATCGCGAGATAAAAAAGGCATTATATCCACTAACTAGTGGCCGCCAGCGATTTCGTCCGCATTTTCCATTATTTATTCGCTCCCAATAGTTGCAGCGTGATGTTATATAGCCTAAAGCCTTCCTCGATAAATGGTCCATTCAACACAAAAATATTTTTTTAATTCGAACCAGTAGTTCCTGAGATTAGTGCGTTCAAACAAACAAACTCTTTAGCTTTATAATATAAGTATATATTTATACTTTATCATATTAGTTTTATTTCAAGTAAGAAAAAATGGATTACTTTAAGGTACGTTCTACCTTAATGGAATATTTTCGCAAACTTCGCTATGCTTCACTGAGTTGTTCCCACGGGAGCAACTTTCCGACGTAGGTACACAAATTTAAAAATTGTAAGTTAAATAGTAAAATCTTTCCGAATCTTTATCCTCTGTTTAATGGCTTCGTATTTTAAACTATAATGTATATACTACTTGATATAATAAAAAAGTTAAGAATTTAAAAAAATGTGTCTTTTGAAGTATATTTTATTTGATTGAATCTCGTGATGTTGATCGGTGGTTTCATTCATATCGTGGATGGATATCCAAATAGTATGATGCATGCCGAAAACTATCAAAATAATATGGGCTTTTCTTTGATTGATTTTATGTCCTTAATCAAATGAATTCAAATTGCACTAGTCAGGTCTAAATTTAAGACCTTATCTTTCGTAAAGTTGATAAACCCAACGTGATTATTAGTAGATTAGATAATTTACATCCCCAGCTTAAGATTATTGTATTTTTTGACTACTTATATATACATGAGTAGTAAAAAATTTAACTGTTTTCCTCACAATGACTATAATTTCTTCAAGGTTAATTTTAATGAGATTTTCAATGCTCTGAGTTGTTTGAATCGGTCTCAAATTCTGAGCGAATGTTTCTGTGTTGATAGTATGGCTGTAGTGTTTTATGATCAAATAAACTCTATAATAGGGCAACACGTTCCTAGGCGCATACCTCGTAGGGCTGGCTTCCCACCTTGGTTCACACAACTCCTTAAAGAGAAGGAAAAATTAAGATTAAAGATCCGTAAATATAATAATTCCTTCGACAAGTTCGATTTTGAATTGATTATTGCAAATTTGTCACAAAGACTTCATTGCAAATGTTGAATCTAGTATAGGAACAAATCCCAGTCTTATGGGCATTTGTGAAAAGTAAAGGAACCGATGTTGCCGATCTCATTGCTTCTCATTTTTCATCAGTTTACGATAAACACCATTTACTACGTGATTCAGACAGAATATTCTTGATTATTAACCTATATCTTCTAACCTCCATGAAATAACATTAGACGAGAAAACTGTGTTGTTAAGCATTTAAAAAAATCTTAATTCCAATAAAGCTACAAGGCCTGATGGTGTCCCTCCCTAGAAACGTGCACCATATCTATTATATCCACTAAAGACAAAAATCAGACTGTCAGCAAACAAATGGTTTTTAATGTAAAAAGTATTTAGTTACAAACCTTACCTCTTGACATGACATGACTCGGGTTATGGGATCGGTGGATAAGAGTGAACATGTTGATGCCATATACACCGACTTTACCAGTGCGTTTGACCTGGTGATATATGATATTTTAATTTAAGAAATTGTTAATATAGATATTGCAGAATTGGTTTCGCTCTTATCTAACACACGGAAAAACTTTTTAGTTTACAATACTACAAAACGTCTAGGTTAAGAGAAATACTGTAAAGATAACTATAATTTTGTACACAGAAACAGAAATATTGTTAACATAAGTTGACATTTTGTAAGCAATACAATTACAGTTCTGTTATTTCTGAAATTGTAATCAGCACTGAAAGTATATTAAACATTACAAGAAAAATTGTATTTTAAAAATCTACAACACGAGTTATGATGAGTACTGAAAATACGTTTGTAATTACAATACAATTAGTATAGAGAACAATCAGTGATGTTGCATTTGCAAAACTTCGCGCGGCTTGGCGGCGATCGAGATGCGGGGGGGTGAGGGGCAGTGAACTTATTGCATCATTTTTCTTTCTTTTAGTCGCGCGCGCAGTGAAGTGACAGTGATAGGATTACTATTATTCTATGGGATAATCGCCCGCCGATCGCTGCCATTACGCTTCCTAATCGTGTTTTATTGTTTGAAAATTGAAATGGACGAAGATGTCAGAAACTTACTTATTGCTTGGGTTCTCAGCGGTTATGTGGATGTGTTCTCTGGTAAGTTTCATTTATTTCATATGTACTCATCATAAATGATATACGCCTGACTT